TTCACCCACCTCGGAAGGATGGGAGGCTGAGTCAACCCTGAGCCGGTGAGATTTGAACCGCTGAACTGCAGCTAACAGTCAGCTGAAGTGGCTGCAGTACAGCACTCTAACCACTGCGCCACCTTGGTACTAGAGGTGGGTTGCAGCTGGTTTGGCCTGGATCCAGTGAACCAGTAGTAGCTGTGGCAGAATGTTCCACCCACCCTCCCGGACGCTTCTACACATACGCTTGAGCGCCCCTGAACCGGTAGTATCAAAATTGGCAACCCACCATTGGTCCATACAATCATAAAGTCAGGGTTTAAGGAGCATTGGATACAATCCTCAATGCTACAATAACCTGGAATATTGCTACCCATCCTCTTTTGCACAGATATACAAACTTGCATGGGAACTTGGGTCACAAAGAATCCACCAACTAAGATACTTTTGCAGATGTGCAGCTCTGTCTATAAATTGTAATATAGCCCAATTTACCAAGGTGACTCTACACTGGTAGACTGAGATTCATTACTTATAATATGTAACATGGAAAAATAATCTAAAGGCAAAGATTTAGAGAGAGACCCTTGCAATAGAAAACGTTTACATGATTTCTTATGACTTTCATAGGTGTGCTTAGAAAATGGGGAAAAAACGGTAACTCAGTGTTGAAATAATAGAAAATATTTCTAGCTCAGGTTTTAGATTTTGGCAGTGGTTTGCTTCCCAAGCCTGCCATTTAGCTCCCAAACCTCCCAAACCTCCCATCAGCAGCAGGTCTTCGGTGAAGCATCTTGTTCTATTCCTCTTTAGTTTACAAAGGTCTTGTGTGCCGGTGGGGTCAGTTGGTCCATCAGGTTGAACATTTCAAAAGACCCCAGTCCCCCCTTCAACAGCATTTGCAAAAGATTTCAAGCCATTGCTAGAAAATAAGGATTATCTGAGGGCTCTTTCAATAGACAGCTAGATAAATCAATTATTCTTTTGGTCTCATCTCATGTGGCGAGATGCCTTCCAAATGACACATTGCCAGTTTTCACAACTTGATCCCTTCCAGATAGGTGGACTACAGCTTCCATCATCTCAAACGAGGGACACGCTGACATCTTGACTAACATGCTTATTTATTTTCTACCGTCTCAGAATTTTAGTTGTTCCTTTATCAATAACCAACTAAAATATACGACAAGGTCTTTGAAAGACAAACTTCCGATGCTACGTTCTTGATATACTCCATTAGAATTTTTCCTGCAGAAAATAAGGAAGCTACATATTAGTCAATGACCGGGGATGGATTTTCTAATAGCTGCGCTCAGGAAAGATTTGATCTTTTATTTTGTACAGAGACGTTTCACATTACAAATACGGCCTTTTCTTTTCTGCAGTTATGCTGATATACGCTATTAACAAAGCCAATGAAGACCATCATGCTATAAGCAACTGGCACAGCATTAACAATTACGTGTTGGTTTTAATGCAGACTGATAAATAATAGCCACAGCTCTGAAAGCCAGCTGAATTAAAACACACATACAAACAGTAGTGAAGATGGCAGAGACTGTAGAGAGAAAAAGAGACAAGAGGGGGGGGGGGAGGACCCATATTTCATAGCACAATGTTTCCATAATTGGCAGCAGTGGAGCTCGCAAGCTGTTTATTAATTAAAATGCAGTCTTGGTAGAGGCAACCTGCTAAATGCGAAGTGGAAGTAGCCATGCTGTTAAGCAAGGCATTTCCTTAAAGATGATTGGTTATTACTCTCATGTATATTCATTGAGTCTGTCTCACAAGTAGGCCTTTTTACTGAAAGTAGGTGGTGAAAATTCTAAGCGAGGCGAGAGATGGGCAGCATTGCTTTCTAGAGCAATGAATGAAAGGTGTGGGATACCTTTGGGGGGGAGACAGACCTGAATGCTGATGCAGCCCTCCCAGTGAGTTGTGGGGATTTTTTTAATCGTATGTCTTCTTTGTCTTGAGACTAGTACGGAGCAAATATGTTGCAAGAAAATGTTTGCTTGAATGTGTTTTTTGTATTGGAGTGAATATATTTGTGTCATTTTTTTAACGTGCTCTCTATATAATCTAACTTTTTAAATTTGTGCTCTCATTGTTTTAAATAATCCTTTTAATAATCCTATAGTAACCTTAGAAAAGGTGTATTGTGTCGTTTTGCTGTGGGTTTTTTTAATGCATAAAATATATAATCCTTTTTTTTTTTGCAGCATTGAAAATATTAATAAGCAATGTCATTGACTGAACGTTTTTGTTTGAACGACTGAACGTTGTCATTTTTGGGTGTGCATTTCTATTAAAGGGGAAGGCGTGTTGGGATGAATGGAAATTTAGCAGTCTTCTATTTTTTTTTTAAAAAGCCCTCTTTTATAGTTATGATAGAGCTTTTTAATGCATTTAATGGGAAATGACAAAAGGCAGAGGTTGTAGTAGAGCAACCCAATTGTACATTTACACGTGGGTAGGTAGGATTTTAATGTGGTCTAAGAAATGTATGTTTGGGGGAGTAGTGCAATTGCAGTTTAGTTACATTACAGATGTGAAAATAAATTATCCTTCCCTATTCCTTTGTGTACAGTATTTCCTTGGAATGTACTGACTGAATGAGGTTTTATGACTGATGTTTTCTCTAGCGTGATGTAATGGTATGTGGGAATGAGCTGGGGAGATGGAGAAGAAATATCGCCTAGGGAACAGTCTGATAAGAGGGGCCATCGCCCAGAGCCACATAATGGATGCAGAAAGACGCTCAGAAGAGACCGTTCTCAGGCTGCAAAAGAGATAATGGGATATTTGTACATTCAGACTTGAAAGATTCTCTTAATGTAACCTTACAATAAAGTAGAATTAGCTCATTTCATTGTGTTTCCTTTTGTTCCACTTGGGAAGGCCAACAGGTATGTTCAAACAAAATCATAAAGGGGAAACAAAGGCAGCATAGCTCAGAGGTGCTTCATAAGGCATGCAGGCAATTTCCACCACTATTGCCATCCATATCCCCCAAAGAAATCGGCCAAAGACCCCTATTTTTTTTAAAAAAAAATCATGTTTTGTTTGCATTTCACCTGAACAGCATGTTACACATGAAAGGAAAACAGACACAGTTTGCGTGGGCTTCCCTAGCATTTATAAACGTATCAAGCCAACTTAATTTGTTTTAAATGTAGCTTGTGCTGCTGCCTCTTTAGTTTGTAATCCCTTTTATCCAAAGTTAGAAAAACTAGATTTGGAGGCTGCTCTTAACTAATTAATCCTAGGAAAAAAATATCATGTATGTTGACTCACTATTTTGAAGTCCATAGCTGGCTGCCTCGGTTCAATTTCAAATTTTTCCAGTATCTGCTATAGACATCAGACTAAATATATATACTACAGTACCTTTTAGGAAAAAGTTATGTTTTGCTGTCCAGAGAAGAGGTTAAGATTCTGCTGGGTTTAAGATCCTGACAAGTAAAAATAGTTTTATATTAGAATTTATGAGAACCTTGAAGAAGTTCCAAAAGGGCTGGAATCTATTGGATGTGTTGTAGCTTGTGAGATTTTGTATCAAGTGTGGGATTGTATTAGATCAAGGGACATAAACTGACCATGTGCCTCCAAAGCGTAGACATAATTCATTCAGAAGTTTCAATTTTTATCTTTCCCTTATGTTTACACTCAGATTGGTGAAGATTTTAAGAATTGGCCCAATATAACAGGAAGACACCAGGTTGGGTAATATTATTTATAAAGAAAAAATAAGAGGCCTGGCTAAAATTTCTTGCAAATTCATAATGAACTCATGTTTCAGTTTTTTTTTTAACCATCCTTAGGTAGTTGGCAAATTAGAATTCTTCCACAGAAGTCGAAATGTTTACCTTAAATGTAGGTTCTCTACATGTGGTGGCCCATGTATATAGCAAACGTATTTATTTTCTAGGTATATTTGTGGTCTTTTGGGACCTATTTTTAAAAGTGTAAAACTAAATGAATAGGGTTGCAGTAATCATTAGCCAGCATATAGGACCATTGTACTAAATGGTATTACGTGGCTTCTTAAGATAAACAAAGTTCCTTCAATCCTTGAAACTGTAAATTTCAAATAAGGCCCTGAACACTGAGGAGCATTTTTTTATATAATCACTGGCTGCCAAGTAACTATCATTGAAAAGTTGGCATAAACGGCAACACGGGTCTTTGGTGAATTTGAATTCTGTAATGAAATTGACCTAGTGAATGTGCAGATTCAAGCCATGTGGGCTTTTGTAACTGGCACATGAAAAATTTGTAAATGCACAAAGTGCATATCCAAGACTTTTGGGGTATGACCCCAGGTGTGACAACAGCAGGCTTATGCCATAATTTTTCAATTTGGGTTTTCAGATCTTGACATTTTGTGATCTCCAGTTCTTTTGTCTTCTTTCTACTTTCCCCTGGCCTCATCAATTTTCTACACTTTATTTTCAATCACAGTTAAATTTGGTGTGTTATGAGCCCAAACCTCATCAGTTTCTATTCAGAAATCCCACAATCTGCTCCTTCTTGACTACTTTTTCAACTATATGTTACCACGTGTTTCATTACTGTACTGTGTTTCATTACTGGCATATGATCATTTTTACAGATGTTCCAATGAATCACTTTGGGTGACTTTTTTATGATGATGATGATATGATGATGATGATGAATTATATCTTTAATTATATAATAAAAAGACTTTTATTGCAGCATCCCAAACCTGGTTCTGCTTACCAATAATCGTGGGTTGGAATTCTATAGAACTGAATCCAGGGTTTGCTCACCGCTTTCTGTAACCTAACGTGTTCCCCAAAGCCAGGATGCTGCCAGTTTCCATGGCAACTGAAAAACTGTACCGTTTGTGATTGTATTTTATTCTCCTTGTAGATGGAGGAGATCAAATTTAAAGACAGAGCAGTCTTCGTGCTGGAAAAAGAGTTAGGGGTTCAAGCTGGGCAAACTCAGAGACTTCAACTCCAAAAGGAGGCTTTAGATGAGCAGCTGTCCCAGCTCAGAGAGGCCGACCGGCATCTGAGTAGCCCCAAGCGGGAACTTCCTCATCCAAGTGGTGCAGGAGACACTTCAGATCACTCAGGAAGCCCCGTAAGCACTTTCTAGTAGTTTTCCCTAAAACCACCAATTGTGCCAAAATCTTGATGAGTGGCTGCCCAGGCCAGCAAAGTTTGGTTTTGATTTGCTTGCTCGCTCGCTTGTCTGTTTTAAAAGCAAGTCGGGGTGAGGAAACCCAACTCAGGTGTCGTCAGATGACATCCTGAGCTTCTGGTTTGCTTTTATTTCGCCAGCTACTTGCCTTTTTTTTTTAAGCAACTGTACCTTCCCTTGAATGTGTGCCTGATTTGACTTGGTGAGACTCACAACGCAAACTTACAAGTTAACCTTTTAATAGCTGTGTGCTAGTTTTCATGGAGGCCTACAAATACCTGTAAAAAAGAAAGATGATGGCAAAATGAGGTCCTAAGTCTCATGACTAATCCTGAAGGATCGATTGTGCTTTTGATGTTAGTCAATGTTCCAAACTCTAGAGAATAAATGAGATGCCAACTAATGTGCTTTTTCTTCCATACTTTACGATTTCTTACTCCATTCAGTCTAAATTCACCTTTTATCTTGGCTTTTGACGTAACTATGCCATCTCTTCCAGCTTCTGTGTTAATTTGCTAACTACAGATTTTTCTGTCACATTTGTTAAACTTTTCTTTGTTGAATCTCATCAAGATTTCCTTTGTATTGCTGCTTAATTTGACCTATAGATATTTTTTTTTCAAATATTGTCAACCCTTTTGCCCAAAGCCTCTCCTGCACCTGTTGAATGAAGAATCCTAGCCCTGTTGAGTTTCCTTGGTTCTTAGAGGCTCATCTTTGCTTGAAGCAAAGGGTCACACATGAAGCATTCCAAGTAGATTAAAATTGCTACTAAATAGGAACGCAGGAAGGAAATGCTACTATAACTAAATTGCTTTTTGTTCAAAATAAACGAAGTTGCCTATTCTAATATCTATATTTAAGTGACCCATGTCAGTACTCTGTTAAATTCACAGCTCCATGGGAGCCAAATGGATACAGTTGTTTGTTGCACACACTTAATACAAGTTATATGTCAGTATTAATAAATATATTATCATAGGAAAAGGATACATGGCACATCTAAAGTTCTCAATTCAACAGTGGCATAAATATGAAACACAGTAGTAATTCTCAGTCATCTATTTCACATCCCAAAGCCACACTTGTGAGTCTGTGTTTATTTACACATTTTGTTTTCATTTGCCTCTTGCATAATAGTTTCTTTCTTAATTTCTGTTAGTCTCATCTTTTAGTATTAAGGTACAGATTTTTAGAATTAGTAATGGATGGAATCTGACAAGGAAGAAGGTGGGAATTGGTAGAAAGTTCTAAAAACGGTTTTCTTGTTGAACAGTTATTTGCAGTTGCTTTTTGTTTTAGGAACAGCAGTTGGATGAAAGGGATGCTCGGCGTTTCCAACTTAAAATAGCCGAATTAAGCTCCATCATCAGGAAACTCGAAGATCGGAATGCGTTACTGTCAGAGGAACGAAATGAACTTGTAAGAAATCATGTGCTTTTAATTTTTAATTTTTTTTTAAAGAAAACCCTATTTGGCTAACTGTAGCTCTGTAGGAGAAAGTTAGTCTCTTGGCTCTGGAAGTCAAAAATTAGGAGGATTCGGATAGCATCTTTTCAGATTGAATTTTATGAAAAGGTATAAATTTTTTTGTACTTATGTCTTTTAATAAAATTTGTTAGTCTGAAAAGAGGCACCCAGCCTTCTGGTTCCTTTTTGACTAAGTTAATGAAGGGATTAATATACTGTGGAAGCACAACAAGGTGGCAATTGACCAAGTATACTAACCCGAGGAAGGATAAATTTAAACAGACCTAGACATTCCTAGGATTAAAATAACTCCACTCAATCAGTTGGATGGTAGGGAAAAAAAGTCTATCCCAGTTAAGGTGTTTTATATACTTTGTCCTCCAAGAAAAAGAGATGGAGAGGAAAAAAAATGCCTGAAAAATCAAACAAATAAATATTATGGACTATGCTTCTGCCATCTCTGTGCATTTCCCTGTTGATAGTAGTAAAGAAGGACTGGGATGGGATGGGAAAATATGACTGTTCAAATCTTACTTAATCTCTCAATGGACTTTTATACCATCATTCATAAAGCCATTGGGTGAGTCCATTAATGAGGGACATTTACACACAGTTGAGTCAGTGGCATGGAGTTCCGCTTTCTCGTGAAGATGTGGCTTGTAATTTGGGAATCACGGCTTCACTCTCAGCTCCTGCTTGAAGGACAAGTGGAGGTAATAACTAGGAGGCCTTCGTACTGATTCATCTTGTGCACCAGTTGTAGATTCTTCCGTGACTCACATCTTGTTCACTTCCTTTTTGATTTGCAATGTGCTCCACCTGGAGCTGCTGTTGGAGACAAGCCAGAAACTGCATTTTGCCCAGAATACAGAAGCTTGTGCATTTACAGGCATTAGTATTTGTTCCTATGAATTATTTTCCTAATAAATAAATTATTTGATTTTTTATATATAAATGCAATTAGATATTTATTTAAGCAAATATTTCATTTAGAACATTTAAATATCCCACTAGGCAAGGCAAGGCTAGCAGATTCTATGCTGGATCTGATTTGGATGCCATCATTCATCCTTTGACTTCTAAACCCGTAATTTAAAAAAAAAAATCTTCTAATTTATGGTTTATCACTTCTTGCAGATAATGTATTCTATCTGTATCATTAATTTATATATACATATATAATTTAATCATGATTTGCCAATTGCCCGGAAAAAGAGGTTAAAAATGAAGTTTTGCAATAAATTGACACTTGAATTAATTTAACCAATTATTCACCGAAACAGAGTTATATACTGCTTAAAAAAAACATATTTGGTAATGGTAAGTTCATACTTATTTTATAAAGATATTTCAAATTTGGGAGGAAATAGAATAACAGAGTTGGAAGGGATCTTGAAGATCTTCTAGTCTAACTCCCTGCTCAAGCAGAAAACACTATATAATTTCAGACAAATTATTGTCCAGTCTCTTCTTAAGAACTTCCAGTGTTGGAGCATTCACAACTTCTGAAGGCAAGTTCTGTTGCTGATTAATTGTTCTAACTATCAGGAAATTTCTCCTTAGTTCTAAGTTACTTCTCTCCTTGATTAGTTTCCACCCATTGCTTCTTGTCCTGCCCTCAGGTGCTTTGGACTCCTTCTTCTTTGTGGCAGCCCCTGAGATTTTGGAACACTGCTATCATGTCACCCCCAGTCCTTCTTTTCATTAAACCAGACATACCCAATTCCTGCAACCATTTTTCGTATAGTTTTAATCATCCAGCGGAGGAAAGGAATAATGACGTCATTGAGATATAATTTCGATTGCTTTGGTTTGTTTCATTGACTTTTTCAATTTGCAGCCACAACTTAGAGATAGTTAAATACATTTACATCCAGCCAACCATTCCTTAATGCAACTCTCTTCAAACCGACAAATTACACAGATGACATTTTCTTCCCGTATCTGAATAAAATTCCATTTAAAGGCTAGTTAATGGCATCTGTGGGGGTAAGATTTATTTTTCATAGAGCTAATGCAATAAACCATAGTGGCATATACGGACAGGGGAGGCAGAATACATTTATAGAGGTCATTAAAGCAGCAGATCTGTAGTTAGATCTGGGGCTATTTGTGGGATTTATTTAGTAGAAGAGGCAGCTGAGAAGCTTTCTCTCAGTTCCTTAATGAAATTTTAGCCTTGCAACTGAATATTTTCCCCAACATATTTCATTCCAAAAATAGTGGGAGAACATCTTTCAAATCATATTGGTATTCCTATATCACCCAAATTGATAATTAAGTATGCAGATCATATATTGTTTTGCATACAATTATGAGTTCTATCTTAGGAATCAAGTAAATCCAAACACCAAACACCTAGTGGATGGAAAGGAGGGAGGGAGGGAGAAAAGAAGGAAGGGAGGGAGGGAGGGTACAATTAAACATTTTGGGTTCATTTCAACATATCTTTTCATTGATTGTATGCTTTGGAAAAGTGAAAACATAAACCTAAATGTGTACATTTGAATCTGCTAATATGTATTAGGTTTGAAAACAGTATAAGGCGGCCCTTCGGCAAATATGCTATTCAAAAAATCTATACAATTTCCAGAGAAGATGTTATTTGCAGCGGTCCAACACATCTGGTGGGAAACAGATCAGGAAAGGCTGATAGGAGGTTGCATCGTGATTGTAGTCTAACTGCTAATGATTCAGTGGTCACTTCTGTTACGATTTTTAGAACATTTTTGTTTAAAAAATTTCAAGAGTATAGAAGCTTTTGCCCATGAATCAATATGTTCAAGTACACATAGCTGGTAATACAATAATCTAATGTTTGCCAAAGCATACAGCCTGAAAGAAATGTTACACGCAAATTTACCCTGTGTAAACGATGGTGTGATCATGGTTTTCAGTGAATTTGCCACAGAGCAATAGAGGAGGCTTGAAAAGTGGCATTATTTCCTCACTGCAAATTGATTGCAACCATCTCTATCCAATCAGAAGGGCACAAAATAGGATTTTAACATCCTTTGGGGATGCATGTAGTATTTTAATCAATAACATCATTTAGTATCAATGAAAAGACCGCATGGAGCAAAAACCTAGAGAAAATTCAGAGAAGCTAAAAAAAAACTTTCTTTCAGCTGAATCCAACCATTATGACCTTCCATAGGACTATGAGGAAAATGAAAAAGCTTGGTGAAATATCAATAATTGTCATCCAAAGCAGGTTTTTTCCCCAACCTAACTCCCTCCAGATGAACTCAGATTGAAAAGCCCAACTACCGGCAGCTGTGATCATGCAGAGTGCCAGGCTGAGGAAGGTAGAGCTAAAGACTCACAGAAAGACATGTAAGCAGACTCTGCTGAAAAGGGGAAAATGTGTTTCTGAGGGCAAAGGGATGTAGAACAAGAGTAGAAAGCGGGAAAGAAACATCTTCAAGGAAAAACTAAGTCCAGTTGCCATTTGAAAAAGCATCTTTGGGACTCAAATAGAAGAGCAGCTTAATTCCAAACTCTTACAGGTGTCTCCCACACGTTAAAAGAATTGTGGTTGTTTTGGAACAGCCTCCCATCTGAGATCGGAGGGATTCCCTTTTCAGAGAGCTGTGAAGACCTGGGTTTCCCCCCAAGAATTGATTGTGCTAAGGTGGTGGTTGAGCTGCAAGGATTTTGGTTTGGCACCTGGAAGAATTCCTATTTGTTTTTAACCATATTTTAATGGATTGTTGTGAGCCATAGAGAGTCATGATATAAGATAGGCTGCCATACAGGTCTTTCAATAAAGTTAAGTCACTTTGGTTAGCAATAGCATCCCTTATAAATGCATTGGATTTTGTACGGCAGCCGCATTTACACAGCTGTGTAAATATTTTTTGTTTCTCTACTTTTCAGGTGAAACGTGTAAGAGAATCTGAGAGCCAGTACAAACCACTGCTTGACAAAAATAAACGTCTCAGTAGGAAAAATGAGGACTTATCCCACACCTTACGTCGTATGGAAAACAAACTCAAATTTGTAACGCAAGAGAACTTAGAAATGGTGAGTTCTTGTACAAATGAATATCAGGTCACTACAGAGTTCATTAGTGATAGGTTCTGAGTTTTAAATTAAAAAAAAAACTTTGAGCAAAATATTATTGCTATCTAAAATTTTGCTAGCCATCTGAACTCCTTGAACCAATTCAATTTTCAACTCTGAACAGCACTTCAGTTTTGACAGTTTTTAAATGTCAAAAAATCAGGTGAACGCTATTCAAAAATGAATCTGAGCACATTCCATCCTACTCAGTTTGATTAAAATGAATAATGCATTCTGGGGAGAAAGTGAATGGAACAAAAAGAAAAAGAGCAAGAACAAATGAAATTCTCCAGTGTTTCTAGGTTTGTTTTATAAAAGTGTATATAATATGTAACTCATTGCGCTGACACATTTAATTAAGGACACAGGAACTGTTGCAGTAACTTACTGGGGTCAATTTAAAATAGTGGAAATCATGTGCAGTCAAGCTTAACCAGGTAAGGTAATAGATAAATAAATTCCTATAATAGATAAGTATTCTAGCAATTTCTCGGTGTTTGTTCTGCTCCTTTTAGAGGCAAAGAGTGAGGACGATAAGAAGACCAAGTTCTTTAAATGATCTTGATCAAAATCAAGATGAAAGGGAAGTGGACTTTCTGCGGTTGCAGATCATGGAGCAGCAGAATATCATAGATGAGCTTTCAAAGGTAACCAAAACTTTTGGTCTCCTTGGCATAACTTTGGCTAGACTGTCTCCTTCTGTGTGGGGGGAAAAATAAGACCTTAACTCAATGTACACAGTATAAGATGAAAGTTATTAAGCAGCGCTAGACAGAAAGTCGAGAATCTTTCATTCGATAATTCATGTAATATCTAGACAGATGGACAAGATTAAATTTCTGAGCTATATAATTATATTAATTATAACTATATAATTATATTAATTATAACTATATAATTAATTTAAGCTAAATGTGATCATTGTTTTCTCTTGGCGAAAATCTACCTTTCAGATTCAGTAATCAAAAAATGTTCTATTGTATTTCACTTCACACAGTAAAAGTAAAAGGCATGATAAAAAAACTGAACACTTAATTCATGTTTCTACATTTGGGATTCGTACAGGGAGATGGAAATTACTTTCCTTCTTTGTGGCATCATAGTACACAATTTTATCTTGCTTGCACTAGAATTAGAATAAGAATTTTTCCAAAATTTGGAGGGTGTGTAGTCAATTGCCTCCCCTATCTCTTTTTTTGTTTGAGTTAAAATGAAATTAAGAATGTATCAGTGCATTACTCTGCCCTACCCATGATGTTGCCCAGTTATGTTTGATCACAATTCCTTAAATGCTAGGTACAAGAAGTCATGGGAACTGTGATCTAACATTCAAGAATTTGTCTGTTATCTGAATGAAACTTTCACAAATTTCTTCAAAGAAAACCATGGCCTGATAAAAGCTGTAGAACTTTAGGTTTAGAGTTCTTTAAATCCAGAGTTACTGTTGGGTGGGGGTGGGGGGCCCTTCTGCTAAACATTAGATATTTTGGTATTTGGATTCCCAGGTAGCATGGCTGTTGATCATCCAGACAGGTCTAAATATCTAATTAATAATTTAAGAGTTATATCTAAAGCCAATTGCACAATAACTAGGTGCCCAAAAGTATGTGGATGAAAAGGAAATGAGGATATTCAAAATCTTTATTACCATCATAGAAGCACCCTAACTTTTTATTTTAATTCTTTCAAACTAGACTCTAGAAACTGCCGGCTACGTGAAGAGTGTAATCGTAAGTAACATTCACATTTCATTTTGATTTTCATATATGCTTCTCTGTGTTCTACCTGGGATTATTTAGCTATAGATATTTAATGATATTACGTATTAATAGCAAAATAATTTATTCTAATTACTAACACAGATATGAGCCACAGAATTTCCTCCAAGGTGGTAGGAAAGTAAACCAAGGACACATTGTGTTCCTAAAGTCTGAGGATCACATTTTTCACTTCAGGGGAAGGGGGTTGGGGGGGGGGGGTTGCTATGTTCTGATTTGCACCATAAATTATCCGTACAATTTGATTGCCAAACTCATTCCTCATTTCACACCTTCTATAAAGGCTCAGTGGTTAAGACACTGAGCTTGTCGATCAGAAAGATCGGCAGTTCAGCAGTTCGAATTCCTAGCGCCGCATAACAGAGTGAGCTCCCGTCACTTTTCCCAGCTTCTGCCAACCTAGCAGTTCTAAAGCATGTAAAAATGCAAGTAGAAAAATAGGAACCACTTTTGGTGGGAAG